GAACAATATTTGATGCAACGGATCTGTACCTGAATTGAATTAGATATGGTTGAAAATTGATTTTAGTTTTATTCTAATTAATCTGTCATTTATTTTTCATCTAATCATTCATTCATTCAAACAGGAAAACTACAGGCTATGACTATAATTAAAGCATCCACATATCTTTAAACTAACATTTATCAGAAAACTATCGAACAACAAATTCTCTGAAAGAGGGCAAATCAATTGTGGGATGCAGCTCACTAAATCAACGTTGAAAAGGGTCTGTAGATGTTTGGAGGAGAAACTCTATTTGGTCCAACTTAAGAGCCACCCSCCTCTTAGCGAGTTGAATCAATCTGCTTTGAGGGTTTTCTACAACATATACTGTATATGTGGTTGTGTGAAATAGTGACRAACAGGACAACAGAGTGATTCAACCAGCAGTTTCCACCAACAGAAAGAAGATGTACRCATGGACACCAGCTCACAGCTGTTGCACCCACTAAACACACTTCTGACATGAGTGAGAAGGGATTCTGTGTTTTGTTGATGGATWAGAAAGCTGTTGTGGTACAGTAAAAAATCATGTTGCTACAACAACAAAAAACAAATAAAAAGAAAAACATTAAAAAAACACATGCTAGCAGTGAGTCAGTGAAACAACCTGTACAGAGCCAGCAAAAGAGGGAGAACACATGAGTGAGGGAATGTTGAACTGAAGAGAAGGAATGCAGATGGGCCAAATTAAGATGATGAGAACTGATATGTGTTATGTGCAGCAACACGAGTGGAAGCACATTCTAAATCTTCTACTTTACTCTGTGAGACCAAGTTCATTCACTTAATGCATGTCTTTTACTGATCCTAACAAATGCCTTATTTTCTTTTTGCTAGTTTTGAAGAGGTTCAAAGTATGTAAATAATAAATTATGTGTATTTCATTAGGCGTGCCAGAATCAAGATGTGAGTACTTGTAAGCTTTTCTATTCTGTTCATTTGTAGGTAAAGTAACACCTTCAGCAAAATTATATATGCAGAGTTAAAGTCAAATAACAATCAGTGGCAATAGGCTTTAGGCTAAGGTGGAAACAACTCCAGCATTATTAAAAAGTTATTAAAAGAACATTCAAGCAAAACTAAATTAAACGTTGTGGCAAAACTTAGCAAAGCATTTTCTTAATMAAACATTACTCAGAAACATAAAGTAATTCATATCCTCTAGTACTTGAGTGATTAGAGGTGTCAAAGTCAATGGTACAAGCACTGAATGTGTTGCTACGTGTGGGAGTACCTGTAGTATTTGGCAGCGTTCTGAAGAGCAGTCGATGTTCTCACAGGGCTGATACATCCCCAGGGTTACACAGTTTAGCAGGATTACCATCATGCTCACTCGCTCAAACCAYGTAGAAACACGTTTGGTTAAAGAAAAAATATATTGAAACAGTTATTTAAAACAAAGAGCAGTTCATTTTCAGGCATTTTCAACTGTAAAAACTTGATTCTATGTGTGTATTACTGTATTTCAAAACATCCCATTTCTAAAGTGTTCTCCTGGATTACTGAAGGAAACTGACACGCTGATGTTGTGTGCTGTATAATTTTACATGCATTTTACAGTTAAGGGTACATACATATTGTTTATTTTATATTAAAGGGGCAATATCATGTAAAATCAACTTTTTTGAGTTTTATATCATGTTACAAAGTTATACTCTCATACCAAAAACTTGCCCAAAGCCTTGCTTTGACTCATTCATGCATGTTTGAGAAATCCTGCAGTGTTTTTAGGCAGCCATGCTGAGGAGCAAAACGACAGGTGGGGACCAGAAACGCCTTTTGGGACCAGAAACGCCCCTGGGACGTGTCTTTAAGCCGAACTTCTTCATGGCAGAGCACACCTCCCCTCCCCCCTCCCCACACACCCCGCCCATGACTCCTGCAGGCTCTCAGGTGAAAGTGAAAGTGAAACTGTCTGCTGAGCTCTCAACATTAGTTCTCACTCAGTGAAGCTCTTTTCAAATTAAAATACCTTTGAGGAAATGCATTTTCAGATATCAAGTAAACTGCATCATGGCCGCCCCCTGCGAGCACGAACCCCCCACCCACAGCCCCCGCACCGAAATGAGTGGGACAGAAGCAGAAGGAGGTTCTTAAAGAGACAGAGGCCAATTTCAAGGCATTTAGAAGAGGAAGTGATGATAAGATAAGTTTACTTTCTATTTAAACATAAAAACAGCATTTTAATAACAACTAGAGGTGACAGATACTTGATCATGGTATAGTATTTAAATTATTGCCTGAGAAACACATAATATGGCCCCTTTAAGTGCACAGCTAACATTTGAATTATATCCTGTCAAAATATATACATTACCCTATTACCCAAGAGCCAGGAGTAAATGTCCAATTAAAAAGATAAATGAGTCATAACAGATGCTGCAGGTGCATTCCACAATGCTGGATATCTTTTTTTCAGTGTGTCTTTTAGTGAGACAATGAATCCCTGCTGATTCAGTGGTTCATGTTCAGATCTCATTTCACTCTAATAAAATACTTCAAAGCAAAAATCAGGATATCTGTATGACGATGCTAAATTCTCCGCGAGTATCAGGGCAAATACAGCATATATAAATAATAAGCTAAATGTTTGTATGGTGTATGTGTGTGTATGTGATATAAATAATAAATATCAGAATGGGCAGAGCATGAAGGACCAACATATTTGCCAGAGAGGAAAAAAAGAAACGAGAGAGAGAGAGAAAAGACCTTTGGTGTTTACAGAACAATTCAATATTCATTGTTCAGGAAGTGAGTGCAGTGTTTGGCTAACAAGCATTTGAAAGAGGATCTGCCCTAGTGGTCCAAATTCTCCCTGAGGCTATACAGCCCAGGATGCTGAAATGTTATATTGGCTACCAACAACGTACAGTCTACATGAAGGCAGCCTTACCAAAAAAAAAAAAGGGAAAAAAAGGAAAAAAAAAGTAGGGAACATGAGCTCTTCTGAGCAATCTGCAGGTTTCAAAGAGGGAGAATTTCCAGCATAGGCTGTATTCTGCATGTTCATCTTGGCCCTCAACCTTTCACCAAAGAAGTAGGTTGCCTTAGACACCAAAGCTTGGTTAAAGATAGGTTATGAGTGGGCAAAATACATGTGTGCACATAAACACATGCACAGAGGCTTGCACCCATACACCTACTTATCAGAATTCTTGAAAAGACAAGTGCACACGTGCAAAAAAAAAAAAAAAAAGTAACACCAACAGGTTCAAACACATAAACACTAACAGTCACCCACCCACACTTATGCACAGTCCTGCACACACTTTCTATCACACATAAACTCAGGTACACAGAGACTCATATTGAATCACTGAATGTCAGCTGAGGGGGATCATTTGAATCAAAATGCTCAACACTTGAAGCATGTTCAGAATTAAAGTCTCATATATTAAAGTAGATGTGTGAGAGGTTAAGAGGTAGAATTTGTCATAATACTGCTTTATCCAATTTTGMCTCAAGCACAAAGCCTAACTGACAACCATGCTGAAAATTGTTATAATTGAAGTAGACTTTTAAATATTAGCCTTGAAATCCCTGCTGGCTCCCTGGTAAGTGCACGGATGCATGTAGTAAAGGTAAAACAGGCAAACACGTGCAAACAGATTTCTACTGAATATACATTTTTATCATGTGATTTTTTTCACATATATGAGGAAAAYGATATACAGTAATACAAGTTAAAGGCATAAGTCAAAACCATTTGCATGTCAGTGTAATGATGACTCTGTGATGGACTTGCGACCTGTCCAGGGTGTACCCCGCCCCTCGCACTGTGACTGCTGGATATGGGCACCAGTGACCCATGCAACTCTGAAAAGGAAGAAGCGTGTACAGAAAATGGATGGATGGATGGATGTAATGATGACTAATATTTGCAGGTAATAATTGAAATACTTGTTTCCGTCTTCAGTTGTTGTTCTGAAGTTGGGAAAGACAATCTTTTGTTTGTTTTATAATAATTAGGGGATTAGAATGTGTTTTTAAGGCTGTTTTCACTGCAACTGACTTTTCTAATTTAAAAAAAAGTGCATTAGACGATCAGATAGTTTTTTTTTCTTAAATAACAATGCATTTAAATAGTGCCCATGAAAAGTTTCAATTKGAATCTCCAATCAGAAGGATTTCAACCAACCTAAGACCTATTTATTCATAATGCAATTCAATTTAAACATAGTTTTTGTATCCTTGAACCTTATGTCAGGTGCTGAATGTGGCTGTTTTAATTCTGTTCAAACTCATGAAACTCATGTTTTTTTTTCTTTGTTTTGTTTTAACAGTACCAAATGTGCACTTACTATTCATGAGCCCAGTGTTTTGGAATTTCTGCAGGACTCTTCGATCCAATTAATCTTATAACAGAAATTTATTGACCCCACTATAATTCTTCATAATGAGAGATATGTTGTTGCTTAAATGTCAAGGGTTTTATAAGTCCACAGTTATGAGACCTGTTTGCCATTTCAGCGAGTTTTATTTTTATTTTTATTTTTTTCTGATATCCTTATTAAAGGAAAAGGACAGAGCAATCAGTGGCACTGGGTTTGCGTGAAACCCTCCAAGTTTTGCCTGAAAACACACGGACTAAAAAGCAAAACCTTTTTCAACCAAAAATATACTTTAATGTGAAAAGCATAGCTGGATAAAATTTAAGGTCAGCGCTTTCTTATTTCCCCACTCCAAGTAAAGATGACAGCCTTTGGGCTATGAGGATTAACTAGGGGATAATACTTGYAAATGCAGTCTACACAAACAGATTCTGAGTTAATGCTGAACTTTTCAGATAGCTTTTTTATGCACAATTCTCAGACCTAAGCAACAATTACCCAAGTGTAGCTACTTCTGAAAGAATGAGTTAATTAATGCAGGTTCCTTGAAGGGGGCTCTATCATCTTTCACATTATAACAGGCATATACAGTATTACACACCGACACTGCAACGGAAAGACTTGAAAACACAAAGCTTAGTATCCTCCTGAGACCCAGAAGAAGAAAAAAAAAATGGTATTTAGATTTTTTTTTCATGGTTTAAGCATTGAGGTTGAAAGAAACATATTGCAACATTTTTTTTCATAAATGTTATTTATTTAAATTTYACCAAATGTCTCTTACAATGGACATYGGGTCTTGCTTGATATAAAAAWWWTCTTTACATAATGATTATTTAAAACTGATAAATTACATTTATTTTTATTTTATAAATACTTTAAAAAGATTTATTCTTTTTGAAATTCATAAACAGACAAAACAGTTGAAGAAATGACTTTAAGAAGTGCTTACAACTAATTACATGTCTGAAATGCATCTAAACATTTAAGTACTCTTGCTGGTTTGTGTATTCTGACAATTTTTTTTTCCCAAAATGCTATTATCTATGTCAAGGCTATTCAACTAACTTGCTCTGGGGACCACAGTTAATGCAGACCAACAGGTCAGGGGCCGAACATCCAGCAATTAAAGTTGTTGTGTAAATAAACTAAGTATTACAATGATCTTTTACCTTTGAAATACTATATTTTGCTGTATTTAATCATGAAAACATACAAAACTCTATTTAATAAATGTAGTGACGATAAAACATAAAAATCATATTATGCCTCTTATTTACCACAAAATATTTTGACATCTCTGACTTGCCRAWTTTTTAAACCAATTTTATTTTGACTTTTATAGTTTTATATTCAACTGCTTGTAGTTTTAACTGTCTTGGGTGTTCGTAGAAATGATTTTCACCAGCTTGTACCCAAGATTCTGATGTTTCTGTAGATACCAAACACGTCCATGTTTAACTAAAATAACTTAAAGTAGAAAACCGGGGGTTTGGGCTTAAGAGATGAATAAACCAATTGGTGGGCCGAACTTTGGTCACTCGCAGGCCAGATGTGGCCCGCAGGACACCAGTTGAATAGCCCTGATCTATGTACTGTTTACAGTAATCAGTTAGCCTCCAGTCTTGGAGATTGTGCCCATTGCTTTCCTGCAAGGGATTCTCCTCCACAACAGGGTTGAAACTATGTTGATTGAAAAAAAGACAATTATAATGTAACGTAAGGCAAAACGTGTAATTACATTTTTAATTGCCATTACAAAATTTTACATTATCGTGTCTACTGTATGTGTAATACATTTTAAAAAGTTGACATTTTTCCTTTGYACTCACTATTACCAAYAAATTCCATGACCCTAACTTACATATTGCTTTTCATCAATATTGGCTGGCAARTGTYTTCATGTTGTTCCTCTTCAGGCTTCTCGAAAACTGCTATGTCTTGCTCTGAACTTTCACATRCCTGCTCTACTATCTGGCCTTCCTCCTCATCATCTTCTGACAGCTCTTAATCTG